TTTTGAGTCTGGATGAATAAGAATACTGGAGCTGTTGTTAATGGAAATTGGAACCAGATCAAAACATTACTCATAAAAGTATCTTCTCTGTCACCATTTTGGGGACATCTCACTCCAGTGTTGTTGCTTGGTCAGTATTTTTCCTCTTCCTCAGTATGCTTTGAATACCATGAGAGGAGGGACTCTGTACCTAACATAGAGTACCTTTTCTTTACCACTTATTTTTTAATCCATTTTTAAATTGAAATATAACCAATTTACAGTGCTGTGTTAGTTTTCCACTTATTATTTTTTTAATTGAGGTACATAGTTGCTTTACAGTTTACCACTTATTTTTAACTTTAAATCCCTACATTAATAAATAATAACTAGTTTGTCATCTCTTACCTTTTCAACCTGCAATTTCCCCTCCTTTATGGATTCCAGACTTCTGTCATTTCTCAGTGACTTCCTTCCCAACAGAGACCTTCATTCCTTTAACCACAGCAGCCTCCCACTCTAGGGTTCATGAATAGATGCTTTTTCTTCCCTTCCTGCTCTCCTGAATCTCATTCCCCTGATGGCTAAGCCAAAGGTGACTCATCACATCATAGACTTCCAACTGGAAGGGGCCAGAGAGACTGTCTCGTCTAATTGACTCATCTCCAGTTGGTCTGAGAAGGTGAAGGGATTTGCCCTAAGTCACTGCTAGTTGGCTTCAGGGAAGAAATTAGAACACAGCAGTCCAGTGGTTAAGACTCCACGTTTCTCCTGCAAGGAGGTACCTATTCGATCCCTGGTTGGTTGAACTAAGATCCTGCATGCCGAGTGGTGCTGCGAAAAAATAAAAATTAAGCAAAATTAGAACATAGAGCTCTTAACTGTAGATGCACATCTCACTGCAGAACAAGCAAGCTCCTTTCTGACTCCAGAAAAGGACAGTGTTATACCAAAAGTAGAGAAATATGTTTTTCTTTTAGTTGGAAATATCTTAAATGCATTGTGTCATAGGAGTTAAGTGTAAGACTGCCTCCATTTGATCTTGGTTGTTTTGGACAAGTTATCTAACCTTTCTATTTCAGTATATCCTTTTTCTCTTCTTTCTATGCATTTGTATGCTTAATATACATATTTAAATCTGTAGATGGGGTTTGTTAATATTGAGAGAAATTATGTGTGTGCATTTTTATGTACGTACATGGAATGATACTGGTTCTATTAGTTTCTTTCACTTAATATGGTCTTAAGAAAATATTTCTTTAGTAGTTTTTCTCTTTCTTTTTTTGGCCAAGAGGCCTGTGAAATGAAACTCACACCCCCTGCAGTGGAAGCACAGAGTCTTAACCACTGGATCACCAGGACAGTCCCAGGGATACCTTTCCAGTTCTGTCTTATTCCTTTTAATGACCATGTAGTATTCCACAATGTGTATGGTTATTTAACCACTTTCACGCTAATTCATTTTAATTTGTATCTTCTCATTTTTCACTATCACAGCTCTGCAGAGAAGCCTTTATGCAAATTCTTGTGAATAACATGTGACTGCATTCACTAGGACTGGTATTCAGAAGTGCAAATATTAGGTCTAAGTAGGCACAGGGTTCTGAAAACAGGGTATGACTAAGTCATCACTGGTTCAATTTCTGCATTATATGTTGATGTTAACTGGGCAGGGGGGTGAGTCTCATGCTGCATGTATTATATTAGGAACTGGGAGCATTTTAGAGAAATTACCCCTCATCTTTTTCTTACATTGTAAGGAAAGTACATTGTGTTCCTGACTTTGAGGGAAAGCAAAAAATAAACTTTCTCCTCTTCCCCCTTCCAAGTGACTAAAATTAGTGAAATTATACTAAGCAACCTCTGCTTGACTCGATGACGGCATTAACCACACAGGACTATAATTGTTGGTACTTATCTGTTTATACCCACCCCCTAAACTTTGGGTTTTTTAAAGGGTAAGGATTATGTTTTATCAATTTTTGTATCCCTCAAACAGCATAATACCAGCGCATAATTATATTTTGTTGAAGAAATGAGTGAATTCAAGTCAACATTGGCGTTTGTTAAGTGTCTAGGATATGCAAAGATTACTAAGAACTGATAACAACAGAGATGAAGCAAAGTTCTCCCTCAAGGAATTTAGAGTCTAATGTGAGAAATAGATATAGGTTGAAAACATCTGGGAATCAAGGTGTTAGTAACAAATGTGATTTAAACCAAAGTATTGTGGGGCTTCCAAGGAGAACTAATTAAGGCTAAGAGAATATTAAGGAAGGTTTTCACAAAGGAAGTAAAATTTGAGACATTTGAGTTGGGCCTGGAGCTTCCCTGGTGGCTCAGATGGTAAAGAATTGCCCGCAATGTGGGAGATCTGGGCTCAGTCCCTGGATTGGGAAGATCCCCTGGAGAAGGGAGTGACTACCCAGTCCAGTATTGTTGCCTGGAGAATTCCACGGACAGAGGAGCTTGGTGGGCTACAGTCCATGAGGTCGCAAAGAGTCGGACACGACTGAGCGACTAAGCACAGGGCAGCACAGAGCTGGGCCTGATAGAGCAGGTTGTTGATTTTTCTGTGTAATTACCATTTTGGTGACTTTAAACATGTGTTTCAGAAACCATTGTCACTGTTTAGATGTCATGTAACCTTCGGGCTACAAATAGGCTAGAAGTGAAGTGTTACACTTGGGCTCTGGAACTAGGGCCTCAGACCCAAGATCAAGCCAAAACATCTTCAGTTCTCAGCATGTCCACTGAGGAAGAAGTTGCTTCTGTTTTGTTTTTAAAGTCAATTCAGAGTGCTTTAGCATTTTATTTCTCCTTTCTTTAAAAATGAAACACAAATTTTTCTTCCTTTGTTTTGACTGCATGGCATGTGGGATCTTAGTTCCCTGAGTAGGGATTGAACTCACACCCGCTGCACTGGAAGCATAGAGTCTCAACCACTGGACTGCCAGGGGAGACCCCCAAACTGTTCTTGACCCTACTTCCTTAACCAGCTATCACCCATTTCTTTGATCTGCTTTGCAGAAAAACTCCTTAAATGATCCAATTCTTTTTCTCCTTTTCTATCTTTAACCCACTTCTGTCATGTACTCACCCCTACCAGCCCATCAGAACTGTTCTTGTCAAGGTCAACAGTGACCTCATTGTTGCTCAATCTCATCATCAGTTTTAGTCTTCTTTTACCTTACTTATTAGCAGCATTTAATGCAGACCATTCTTTCCTCTCTGATAGACTTTCTTCTCTTAATTTCTAGGATACCAGGCTAATTTTCCTCCTATGTGGCTGGTTATTTCTTTTTAGTCTCCTTTGCTGGTTCTTCCCTTCCCAGACTCATCCCAGACTTAGGGTTGAAGGAAGCATATAGATTTGGTCCTTGGTCTACTTCCCTTCCCTACCTAAACTCACTCCCTTGATAATATATCTAGTTTCAAGGTTTTAAGTATCATCTACATTCCCTTGACTCAAAAATGTATATCTTCAACCCAGACTTCTCTTTTCTGAACACTCTATATATCTTCTACTACTTGCTCAACATATTAAAACTGAATTCTGACTTTTCCTTCTGCCCCAAACTTGATTTACTTGGAGCCTTTCCCATCTTAGCTGGTAGTAACTTCATTCTACCATGCAAAAGCAAAAATCCTAGGAGTCATCATTGGAGTCATCCGAAAGTCATGTTGGTACAATCTTTAGAAAATAAACAGAATCTTTCTCACCCCCTCTCCTCAAGTTACCATTCTCTCTCAAGCAGCTTCCTGATTTGTACCCTGTTTCCACAAGACATACACACTCACATACACTAAGGTGCGTTCTTAGCACTGCAGCCAGAGTGATCTTTTTGTACTTTTTGGCTCAAAATCCTCCAAAGGCCTCTCATTTTACTCTGAAAAAGTCCAAGTCCTTACAGAGGTCTATAAAGCCTTGCAAGATTTGCACCACCACCTGCCCTTACCATCTCCCCTCTAGTCTCCTCTTGGGCTTTCTCTTTTTAAAAAAAAAAAAAATTATTTAATTTATTTATTTGGCTGGTTGCAGCATGCAGGATCTAGTTTCCTGACCAGGCCCCTTGCATTAGAAGCGCACAGTGTTAGCCAGGATTTCCAGGGAAGTCCCATCTTGGGCCTTCTTGATGCTCCTCCACAGGGGTTTTACACTGGCTGTTCCCTCTTCCTGATGTGCTGCTCCCCACCATATCCACATGGAGACAGCCTCACCTTCTAGCCTTTGACTAAATGTCTCAACCAACTCAACGAAGAAGTCTGGGACTTCCCTGGTGGTCCAGTGGTTAAGACTGTGCTTCCACCACAGGAGGCAGAGGTTCAATCCTTGCTTGGGGAACTAAGATACTGCATGCAAAAAAATAGTAATAATAAAATAAAAACAAATCTGCCACCATCCTCGTTCCTTCTGATATTTTTACCCTGCTTTTCTCCTGCTGCCCCTCATGGCATTTATTACCTTCTAACCTACTGTATAGTTTACTGCAATGGAAACTCCAAGAGGGCAAGGCTCTTTGTTTCTTTTGTTCACAGGTGTATCCCAACTATTAGCAACTGTGCTTAGCACATAGTAGGTCTCTCAATAAATAAATCATCGAGCTTTCCTTGACAAGGATCCAAAATGCCTTGATTGTCTTTCAGTCACTTTGCTTGAGTAGGTAGGGTGATAATGTAAGAAAAGTACTAGGCTGATGACCGGGGTCTAGCCTAGGACCAAACTTGCTATTTGTGTAACTGCGAGAGTTGTATTGAATTTGTGAAAGTGTATTAAGCTGTATACTTATGATATATACATTTTTCTTTCATATACATATATATAAATTGCTTTTTCACAAAATAATTCATCATGCATGTTTTCCCTAGCATTATTCTTCCAGATATGATTTTTTAATGGTTATACAAGTAATTTGAAAAGCATAAAACACCATACACTGTTCAATGGTGATGTATTATTCCTTCTTTAAGTAGTTGAAAGTTTGTTTTACAAGACTGTGATTTCTTCCCTTTTGCTACAGGGGACATGGTCTCAAAGTACCGAGAACCTTTAATCCACACCTTCCTCAGAGGAGCAAGAGATCCGGATAGTGCTCACAGGGCCAGCAGCCTGTCCAACCTTGGAGAGCTGTGCCAGAGACTGGACTTTATGCTGGGCTCCGTGGTTCATGAGGTATTGCAGATTGATTCCTTTCTCTATAGCTTGTTTTCACTTGGACCTATAATATAGCTTGGCCCTGGGAGTTAGGAGACCTGTGTTCTTTTTCTAGATCTAGAAAGTCATTTAACCTCCCTCAGCCTTGATAGTCTCGTATGTATGTTGAAAGTTGTATTAGTAAGAATTTTTTAATTGCAAGTGACAGGATGTCATCTTAACCTACTTTAAGCCATAAAAGGGGATATACTGTAAATATTCCAAGGAAACAGAACAGAAGAAACTTTGAGGAAGGGCAAAAGGAACTTTGCCCTAGATCTCTGGGCTACCTATGAGTGTCATCTTTGTTCACAGAAACATCTCAGGCAAATAACATATTCTAATTGGCCCTCACTGGTCGAAGATATCCTGTGTTGCCAGGCGGATTCTTAATTACTGGATCACCAGGGAAGCCCCTTTGTATTTAAGTTTTTAATAACTTAAAAACAATGATTTTTACCAACTTAAAATCTTTCAGTATGCTAATACACATGAACCATTGGGCATCTGATTTTTACTATTTATAGATGGCACTTTGCACTCTCTTACTGTTTAGTCTATTAACTTGTAACAGTTAAGGACTTTGCAGCTCTGTTTTGTTGTATCAGCTAAAGATTTCAGTCTGTTATAAATATTCTGGGTGCAGTATTGAAATGGCTCCCGTATTTTTTACTCTGTTTATTTGATCTGATCATGTGATATAATCCAAACTGAACCATAAACCCTGAACTGAAAAAAAGACTCCTGGACCATGATCTGAACCAAACCCAAATACTATTATTCCTAATAACAGAGATAGAGTTCACATACTGTACCTAATCCACCTACTTAAAGAGTACAGTTCAATGGTTTTAGTATATTTAGAGTTGTGGGAGCATCCCCCAATTTTCTTGAACATAGCCATGAGCTGAATGGGTACTTCGCTGCGGCTCACAGTAAAGAATCTGCCTGCAGTGCAGGAGAACCAGGTTTGATCGCTGGGTCGGGAAGATCTTCTGGAGCAGGGCATGGCAACCCATTCCATGGGGAATGGAGTATTCCCATTCTTACCTGGAGAATCCCATGAACAGAGAAGCCCACAGGAGCCTGGTGAGCTACAGTCTATGGAGTTGCAAAGAGTTGGGCATGACTGAACGACTAACAATACAATATATGACCTGAATAAAAATTTCATCCAGATCTCCAAGTGAATCAGTTCAGATTTGACCATATCCCATACATTTTCTAAAACCAATGAACTCAAACTAAGCTTGACATCATGATCTTCTCTGAACCCAGAAACTGAGACCATACTTCTTTTTGAGTTCCTAGTTTCATCTTTCCTTTCTTCTCTTAAGGAAACTGTAACATGCTGATGGCATATCTTTTCCTGTTGAAAGTGTTAGAGAAATTTCTTGGTTTGGTTAATTAGAAAGATTGTGCCAAAGCAGGTTTTGCAACATTTAAGAAGTGTCAAAGAAAAAATAGTGTCATCTTTCTGGAGAGCCCCCTGACCTGTTGGAAGAGAACCAAATTTCCAAGCATACTTGGGGATGGGAATAAATGAGGCCCCACCCTACCACCCACTTACCTGTGTGTTCACTTGGTCAGATGACTTAGATTCTGAGCTTGGTTTCCTGACCTAGAAAATGGGATTAAAATATCTATAATGCAGGATTGTTATAAGGATCTAGGGATAATGTATATGCTTAGATACAGTATACAGTGATTCATTCAGCAATTGCTATTGAGAGCCAAACAGCATATATGCTAAATAACATTCTGGATATTTATCATTCTTTGAAATAGACATTGACTCCCATCATCTTGGATGGGATGTTCTAGTGAGAGGAGACAGACAATAAATGATATACTTGTTAAAATCTATAGTATGTTAGGGACTTCACTGGCTGTCTAGTGGTTAAGAATCCACCTTTCAATGCAGGGGATGCAGTTTCAATCCCTGATTGGAGAACTAAGACCCCATGTGCTGCGGGGCAGCTGAGCCAGTATGCCACAATGAACAGCCCATGCACTTGCAGCTAAGACCCGACACAGCCTAAGTAAATAAATAAAATTAGAGAGATTAAATTCGTTGCCAAGGTCATGCCAGGCTGGGATTTGAATGCAGGCATTCGGTTTCTGAACCTGCGCTCTTAACGACTCCTCTGTATTGTCTCTCAATGAATGTTTTCATTTTGTTTATAAGATTGCTTTGTGCCCTTGAAAAAGAAGGAGAGTTGCCATATGAGAAAAGCTCCTGACAGGAAGGGTCATGCAGTTTTGTTTTAACAGCACTTGCTTTTGGCAATGAAACTTCAGAAGACAATGTATTCCCTCTGATTTGAAAAACCAGGTGTTTCCATCCCACATAATTCCTGTCTGTTTTTAGATGCTCCTTCTTATGTAGTTCCCCATGCCTGCTGTGTCATCAGTGCCAAACCAGCTGCTTTGGGTGGACTGCAAGTTTGAACATGATTGGACACCTGACAGTCTTCGTATTTCAGCCACTGGGTCCTCCTGTAGTCAGGTTACTCTTGTCCATTCACATCAAATAAGTGGGAGATTTGGCCTGGGTTTTTTTGTAGTTGTTCATTCATTTGTTTTTCATTTGATAAATACTTCCTGAGCACTTACTTTGTGCCAGTTATGAGACTGGAGCCAAGCCACATGCTTGGGATCCATCTCTGAACAGAACGGAGTTTCTGTCCTCATGAAGCTGACATTCTAAAGAGGACAGTTGGGTGACAAGCAAGTGAACAAACAAATATGCACTGTGTCAGCTGGAGTAAGTGGAGATGAATCTAGTCAGGCAAGGGGATGGAGGGACTTTGCTATTATATGTGAATCTGTGAACCAGGATGAATAGGGAAAGCTTCAGTGATGAGTGACTTAAGCACATGTGAAGGAGCAGGAGCAGGAGCAGATCCTGGCAGATACATGGGGAGAGGGCCTTCTGGGCTTTGACTTTTACTGCGAGTGAGATGGGTAACCAGAGCAGAGGAATGAAATTATCTAACTTATTTTTTTTAATTATTCATTTATTTTTGGCTGTGCTGAGTCTTCATTACTGCATATGTCTCCAGTTGCGGTAAGCAGGGGCTGCTCTCCGTTGCAGTGCGCAGGGTTCTCATTGCAGTGACTTCTCTTCTTGCAGCCACAGGCTCTAGAGTGTGGCTGTGGCACACAGGCTTCAGTCGCCTTGCGGCATGTCGGATCTTCCCAGCCAGGGATTGAGCCAGCCTCCCCTTTGTTGGCAGACAGATTTTTATCCACTGGACCACCAGGGAAGTCCTGTCTAATTTATTTTAAAAGTTTGTTGTGTCTTCTACAACAGTTTTTTCACTGTCTCATGAAAGCTCTTGAAGTCTTTTGTAGTCTCAGAAATGCTTGACCCCAGCATGTACTAGTGGAGAAGGAACTTTCAACGCTGGGGAAATGTGTCTTTGGCTGCAAACTGAAGGAATTCTTCTTCATGGGTGTTTGTCGTGTGTCAGGTATGAAAGGAGACAAAGGACCCAATCTCTTCCCCCAAGGAAATCTCAGTAGACTGTGGCACACAGGAATAAATAGTGGAATAGAGTGATATCACGTGACAAGCCCAAGGTCTTGAGGGAACACAGAGCTGGGACCCTCAGGTAGGCCTGTCGGGGCAGCAAGGAAGTCACATTGATCAAGCGTTAGGCAGGCAGAGGAAACGGGAAGTATAACCTGTTTTGATATAAAATTGAACAAACCAGACTTCATAAGCACGTGATCTGATCCAGGGGTCATAGCTATGGATCTCGGGCTTCTGAACAAAGCTGTCCAACCCGTTGGGTAGTCCAGACTTGGGTACTGTCTATGCCGTGACACTGCTTACAAGTAGGGAAGGAGCATAAAAGGATTTGAAAGGACCAGCCCTTTCACAGCCTCTACTGGGAATTCAGGTTTTTCCTCTCTGTTGATGTCAAGATTTAACCTGTCTGGAAACCATTATTTTTCCCCAATTTCTCCTTGTTCTTGTCAAAAACTGTGTTGCTTGAAACCAAATCTTGATAGTCTCTTTCATCTTTATCATTCTCCATGAAAAGTAAATATGATTTAAGCGAACTGCAGTGAGAGGCCCATCCTCAGAACAGCAAATAAGATATGCCCCAGGTGACAAGTACAGGAGCAAGCCACTTGTAAGGTGGTGCCCAGAATTCCACAAACTTGGGCTTTGAAGCCTGATGCAGAGCTGTCACCTCTGATTCCACTGAATGATTTGATTTGATGACCAGATTTGTCACCATCAGTGCTGTTTCCTCAATAACAGCTTAAGCACTGAGATGAGGGCTCATATAGATGTCCTGGGAAACCTCAAGGAAGCGAACAGAGCCACCACGGTTCTGTTTCTCATCAGATTAAGTGAGCAAGCAGAACATGTGGGAATTAGAGGCATCCTGCCTGGCTGTTAAAAGTTTCTTTTTTTTTTTTTCAATTGCAAGATTATTTTTATTTATTTTTAATTAGGGAATAATTGCTTTACAGTGTTGTGTTGGCTTCTGCCATAGCACGTGAATCAGCTATATGCACACATATGTCTCCTCCCTCTTGAGCCTCCCTCCCACATTCGCCTCCATCCCACCCATCCCTCTTGGTCATCACAGAGCACCAAGCTGAGATTCCTGTACTAGACAGTAGCTTCCTGTTAGCTGTTTTACATATGATAGTATATTTATGTCAGTGCTACTCTCTCACTCTGTCCCACCTTGAAGTTTCTTAGTTGACAGAAAGACAAATGATTTAGTATTGAGCAAGTTAGCAGACTGACTGGGTTTTAACAGAGGAAGTTTTGGGAAAGGGGAGGAAGGTGCTGTTGGAAAGTTGAAATCATGCTTTCTTGATACCTGAACCCTGCTACCTCTCTTGTGAAATTTTCCAAAGTTGATTTTTGGCCCTCTTGCCATTTGTTTTATCTTTATTTATATAGTTCTGATTATGCCTGGTGTGTGCCAGCTATTTGGGGAGTGATATTTTTCCATATTTCTGTTGGCTCCTAACAGGTGTCAAATTGGTTAAACTGACCTTTAACATTTCCAAAACGATTGTCGTTTTTCTCTCTGCTTGGCTTTCAGAAGTGGAGATGATTTACATAGTTTAGCCAATAAAAAAAAAATCCTTCCATAGTTTGGTTTATTAGAATAGGTGTATTGGCCCTTAGGGCAGGTGACATAAAGATACCGTGGAATGGGTTTCTGCCCTTTGGGAAGACTTAGAAGAGAAATACTATCCCAATTCATAAATTAGTAAAGATCTTACATCATCTATCTGTTCTCCAAAGCTTTTAGGGGGAGTGGAAGGCAGTGTTGAGTATGTCCTTGGGGCTGGAGGTGAGAGCGACCAGCCATGAGAGTGACTTGTTCAGACTGGCCAGATGGAAGAGAGCGGCCAGGCGTCTTCCCTGCTTGTAGTGTTTGACGAGGAGTCTGCCCCACTGGCCTGCTGAAGGACAGCATTCCGAGTTGGTTATGGGAGCTTGACCTGAACGGAAGAAGCTGTTTGTATCTTTTGATGGTGTGTGCAAGACCGTATTAAAATTCTGATGCCTTAAAAAGACATTTTGCACAACCGAACATTGTATACATGTCATGGGATTTGGTACTGTGATGAAGGTGTTGAGGAAGGTCCAGAAACACTTCTGGTCACAGACCTCTGCCTGACTGTCCTGAGTGGCTAATTGCAGATGGGCTTGGTGCAGTCTGGTCATAAGTCACCAAGAGCAGGAGGCCATTACGGCTGATCTCAGCAAGGTGTGGAATAACCGGCTCCTCCCAGTCACATCTTTAAGGTGGCACAGGGATTCAAGGGCTGGCCTTACAGCAGAAGCCCTTTTCCAGTCAAGATGCTTTTGCCTGTCCTGACTGTGGAATAAATGCCTGACAGTCAGAGCTGATTCTACACTGAGCCTTGCGGCAGAAGCGTTGGACCAGGCGGGGTTCCAGGCCAGGAGGCTTTTGTCCACCAAATGTGGGCCAGAACCAAACCTTGAAGGAAGCAGGCAAAAGGCTTTGGAGAGTCTGTGTATTACGTGGGCCTGGGCTGGCTTTCATACTTCAGTTATCAGACTGAATAAGCTAAACTTTTATGTGTCAGGAAGGCCTCAGACCTAGCTCCAACTTGTTCTCTGATTTCAGCTCTTACCTCGTAAATACTAAGCCTGCAAGTGGAGGTACCTATTATACTGTTGCCTTTTTGGAGGTCACCCAAGGGATTCCTCCGAGGACTGAATTGCTTCTACCGTTAATGCCAGGGGCATGGAAGCCACTGATGGCATTGACTTGGGGTCCCAGGTGAAAAACAAAAGCAGTTTGCTGAGTCTTATTGAGAAACAGTCCCCAAATAGTTGAGTTTTTCTGGGATTTCCCTTCACTTGTAAGCGTCAGGCTTGTCTAATAGATGTACAACTTGATTAAATGCCAGTACATCACAGATGCAATTATATTTAAGAACAAGCTACTTCTTCTAATCCCTTTGCCATCGCTGATTAATTAGACACTTTGAACTATGCCCAACTGTTTGAAAGCTGTGAAAAATACAACCTGCATAGTTAAAATTTCTGCACAAGCTATTTCCTCATTTGTGCCTACGTGCTTTTTTTAAACCTTTTTTAAAAACCATTCTTTAAATGTAATATGTATTTATACATGTTCCCAAGCACACAATCTGGCTATTTTCTTATCATGGTTAGCAATCCTACCAGTTGGCCAAGATATACACTCACACAGTAAATCACATAACAAAGTACGTAAGAAACCAAGTGAATAATTTAGACTTACCTTCAGATTTTTGCTGTCATTGGTTACACTCCAAAATGTTTGTTTTTTCTTTCTCGATCTTGCACAAATACCTCATAAAGGATCATTCCTGCTGTTTCTAGTGGTATCTTTTTACAGAGGTTTTAGAATATTTTTGTTGTGCCTACCAGGAGCAGGGTGGGAGCAGGATGGCTGGTACAAGGTATAGAAATTTTTCATTTTATGACGTATAATTATTACTATATATCTTATACCATGTTTTGCAAATAATTCCCAAGTCTTTTCTGTTATAGAACTGTCTTTTAAAGTAAATAAACACTAAAAGACCCATTCCACAAGTGAAGATGCCCAGGCAGGGAGTCTCAGAAACTGACCCCTTGTGACGCCCATGGGCCATACACTGGACTTGTAGGATGGGGTATATGGACATGCTAGAATATCAGTTTGTATATTTATGTATTTCTCTATCCCTGGACTGAAAATTTCATCAGTTGGCACATTGATCCTCATGCCAGGCCTTGAACTCTAAGCCTGCTTGAGTCAGTCTTCAAGGTCCTCACATCCCTATACACCACTGTGTTTCAGATCAGTTTTTCTTTCTTTGACTTGATGTCCCCAAAGTGGGGCAGGTAACAGTTCCTCCCACTTTGGAGGAGAAATTTACCTCTGACCATGCCTTTATTATATGCACATATATTTCCTTCCCACTCCCAAATCTCCCTCCTGAATTCCAAACCAGATTTTGCCCCTTTCCAGAAAAGCCAGACTAAATCAAGGTCTCCACCACTACATCTCTCCCTTTTCATGGAGAATGAGGACACAGTCCACCCCTGGCTAAGCCAGATTTTTGCAATGAATGTATAGAAAGTGGAACACAGTTGAAGGCCTTTAGGTAATTGTGCAACTCTGATTTTTATTGACTTCTTCTTCCCTCACCCTCTTAGGTAACAGCTTGTCTGATTGCTGTGGCGAAAACAGACCATGAAGTCCAGGTGCGGAGAGCTGCCATCCACGTGATTGTGCTGCTGCTTCGGGGACTCAGCCAGAAGGCCACTGAGGTAAGTCAGTCTCTCACCATTTGCAAATCCCCTCCCTCTTTGTTCTTTATCTGTTCATCAGTCTTCCTTTCACCAGGACAGGCCTGCAACCTTTTTCCTGGGTGAATTCATACAGATGAATCAAGTCAGCAGGGACTTTTATAGCAGGAAAAGTCTGTTGTTTGCATCTTCAGTAAGAGTCTCGTTTTCTCTGTATCACATTAGGCAAACTGCATCCTAACCTCCAGAAAAACCAGGACACAAGTTTATAGGTTGAGGTTCCTGGGCCCCAGCATTCCCGTCAGAGGGACAGGTTCCAGGGTGAGCTATGGACCGCAGCAAGCCTGCTTTTTATAGCGTGAACTTGAGTGATTTGTCTTCCTGACTCATTTCATTGTTCATATGGAATCACTAAAGGGCTTCATTTCAAATGTCTCCTTTCTAGCTGTGAGTGCAATCCATGAGATTTTAGTCGTTGCATAAATTAAACTTTTATTCCTCCAAATGGGTTTGGCTGGATTTCTCCCCAGTGTGTGGCCAGTCTAGGAAGAAAGTATATCTGTTCACGTGTGTGCTGAGAATGAATGACCTCTAAATTAATTTTCTGCTTGATTTTATTGGAAACACATTCCCAGTTGACTTTATAAAGAGAGTTTGCATTAATAATTCACTTCCTGGCATCCACAATGCTTGTCTACGGCCGACACATCAGTATTTAACCAAGTGTCAGTGAAGCCATTAGGAAAGTGTTTTGTCAGACACTTGGCTTTGTTCATGCTAGAATTTTGCCAAATCGAGTTCCTGACACCATTTTTGTACAAGCATTAGTTATCCCCCAGTTATTTTATCTAGGACCTTGATTGGAGTGGGGGACGGAGAGATCATAACTTGACATTTCAGATAATGGTTTTAGGGTATTCACTGTTCTTGTTGAGAATCTGCTGTACAAAATGGAATTTAAAAAGTCAGTATTTTTTTTTACCCACTGTCAAAATCTATGAAACTCTTGACAAATATAGCATTGTTATGTAAGTTGTTAACAACAGAGGAAACTGGGTAAGGAGTATACAGGAATCCTCTGTATTGTCTTTGCAGCTTTTCTGTAAATCTAAAATTATGTCAAAATAAAAATTTATTTTAAAAATTGAGTCACAACACTATTAAACTAAATCTTAAAAACTCTGTAAGTGCACACATCCTTACTCAGTGAGAGAGAGAGAGAGAAAGTGTGTGTGTATGTGTGTAGCATAGCAAATGTCTGGTTAGTTAAGTGCAAGAAGAAATAGAAACACTGTCCAGATTTTTTCACATCTATGTAGGCACTGAAAGCAACACTGCTTGTCTCACCAGTATGGAAATAATTTGTAGCCATGGAAGGTTTGTGTCACTTTCAAAAAGCCATGTGAATGAAAAACTTCTGTTCTCCAAACTGTCTCCAGTCTGTACTCACTGAAATTTATAAATTGTGCTTACTCAGTGAATAAAGAAAACGAGATGAGATGAGATGAGTGTACAATTTCTCTTCCTGGTGCGCCCTTGAGACCAGGTGTGTTAAGTCTTGTAATCGTAGGTGTGATTATCATCAGGGACACTTTAATGAGAAGCGGAGATAACCGCAGAGCTTTCAATCTAAGATTTTCTTCACTACTCTGTTTTGCCCCCAGGAACAGCTGAAATGAAAATGCCACTTTGTTGGTGAAGTTTTGTTTTGTTTTGTTTCCTCTTAATCACTGTCTCTCAAGCTGCAGAGTGCCAAAAGATAATCCTAGGTTTCAGTGAATTCTCTGTTTCTCGTGGATGTGCCGGCCTACAAACTGTGGTCCTGGCAGCTTGAAAAGAAAGCAGAGTCCAGTAAGAAGTGGAGGTCCAGAAGATCAGGAGATAGACTGGAATCAGAGAAGGAAGACATTACCACCCCCACCGATGGGGTAGCTTTTACCTTTTTCCCATTTATACGTAGCTAGAATAGCCACTTTAGAGGGAAATATAGCCTTCTCTTTCTTAATGAAACACTTTCTCTGCTTAGCCTTGTTTTGGCCTTATGATCATATCTGTTTATTTACTCATTCTCAAGTATAACCTGCAGCCAGAAGGGAACCCCCTTTATAAGCTAATTCTGCCTTACCTTTGCTGAAAATTGAATTTACAAGGAATACCAAGGAGAAGAGATATGTTTATACCTGTGCTTTCTGTTGGCCTCAGAGTTAAGACCAGCCCTCCTTATCATGGAAATTATGAGACGGGAGACAGCATGGGAAAATTGTGCCTAATTCTCCAACTCTCCCCAAGTTAAGTCTTTGCAAGGTGACTTGTTTATTCTGAGAATTGTAAATGTTTAGCACATCCATATTATTAGGACATTCATTCATTCCAAAGACAGTAATGAATAATTGGAACAGTAATGGCTAAGCAACAGCCTACCAGTTGTATGTGGGAGGCATGCAGTGCATTAGGGGTGCATACGTGCTCAATTGCTAAGTCATGTTCAGTTCTTTTGTGACCCCATGTAGTGAAGCCCTCTGTCCATGGAATTTTCCAGGCAAGAATACTGGAGTGGGTTGCCATTTCCTTCTCCAGGGGATATTCCCTCAGGGATCATAGCCTCATCTCCTGCATTGGCAGTTGGCTTCTTTACCACTGAGCCACTAGGAAAGCCCTTTTAAAGATTTTTGAATGAGTGATTTGGTGTAACCAGAGGCTCTCAGAATTCTGACCATATATTTCCCTTAGGAGCAATAGTTCAGTATCCATTAATTCAGGATCTGTTAATTCAGTGTTCACACAATTCTATAGAACATAATTATTAATATTACGAATAACAAGAATCAACTATATATACACTGGGGAAGAGGTTGAGTATCTTAAGAATGAATGATTTGGGGTTGACCATAGTTCTAGATTTATGTAGGTAACTAATACCACAGTCCTCTGCATAGTTTACTGAAAGTTGACTTAGAAGAACTGTGAGGGCCTTCCCTGGCAGTCCAGTAGTTAAGACACTGCACTTCCACTTCAGGGGGCACGAGTTCGAGCCGCATGGGTTTGATCCCTGGTCAGGAAACTAAGATCCTGCGTGTTGTGGTCAGAAAAAAGAAAAAAAAAAAAAAAAAACAACTATGAAATACTTTAAAACTTTGCACACAGGTTTGTAGTGACTAAGTATGGTGACATTTTAATATTGAAACTTTCTCCCTTGTTTTTTAACATTAAAAAGTAATTATAGCACATACCATTTCTTCCTTCTAATCCCTAATTTTAAATGACAAAAGAATAATCTGTACTCTAATGGGAGATAAGTAAGTCGGCTTTAGAATTTATTCCTTCAAGATGACAACCAACCCTCAACACCATCTTGTGTCTTCAGAAATAAGCAAAATCTGGAAGCATCTTCAGGGAGAAGAGTTGGAGATTAATTGTTAATTGATGGTTGAGTCAGGTTCAGAGCCAAATCCAGGCCTCCACCCAGGAATTTTTTAAAAATATTTATTTATTTGTTTGGCTCAGATGTATAGAACAGACTTGTGGACTCTGGGAGAAGGCGAGGGTGGGATGTTTCAAGAGAACAGCATCGAAACATGTATATTATCTAGGGTGAAACAGATCACCAGCCCAGGTTGGGTGCATGAGACAAGTGCTCGGGCCTGGTGCACTGGGAAGACCCAGAGGGATCGGGTGGAGAGGGAGGTGGGAGGGGGGACCGGGATGGGGAATACATGTAAATCCATGGCTAATTCATTTCAATGTATGACAAAAACCACTGCAATGATGTAAAGTAATTAGCTTCCAACTAATAAAAATAAATGGAAAAAAAATAAAAAATAAAATAAAATATTTATTTATTTGTTTGGTTGTGCCGGGTCTTAGTTGCAGCTTGTGGGACCTAGTTCCCCAACCAGGGATTAAACCCAGGCCCCCTGCATTGGGAGCACAGAGTCTTAGCCAGCAGACCACCAGAGAAGTCCCAGGAATGGTTTTTAATTTCTTCTTTTGAGTCCAGTGTTGGACTCTGATACTAGCAGTCTGTTCCCAGTCACATTAGGAATAGTGGGTTCACTCACTTTTGTGCAGTTGGAAGTTGCTCTCCTAACTTTTTTGTGAGAGAGAAGGCAAAAACCAAGGCTTAGAAAAGATTTGTGTACGATGTTATTTTTTTTAATGACAGCAGTCATACATGGTTCATCCAAAAGATTAGCAAATGTGTCTTGGGTTCACCTTGTGCCTGTCTGTCCAGACTGAGAAGTAGAACCCAAGGGGGATGTGACAGTCTCTGATGCAGCAGGTTATAAGTGAACTGACAGACTACATGGAATCTTTTCTGCATTTTATTGGCTTTGCTTTATCCCCAAAATTATCTTGACAGTTGTTGTGGGGTTTTTTGGTGCTATGGGTACAGTTAAACGAGCCCAGTTTCCTTCCCAGAGCTAGTTCCACAGACACTACTCCTTTTAACAAATCAGAGGTTCCATATGAGGAGCAAATGAAAAGAACATTTATATAAAAATGACTTGGATCCAGGTAACAATTATTCCTTTGTAAACTTTGAAAAAGAGCTGGGGAGAGCCCTTTGAAGACTGAAATTAAGGAGTATCACCCCTTCCTGGGAGCATAACGCCACTGCCAGTTGAACAAGGCAGGAGTTCTGTCAGTCATCCACTACTGGCCTGGGCTTAGGTGTTTACCTATTGATAATATTAATAAAAGGCATTTAATAGGAATTCAGCATTTTGGGACATTGTTTATGATGCCCTGGAGACAGAGGCGTAGAGGGGTTTTAAAGTATGTTGTATCCCCCACCCACACTTCCCTCTGACTCACTCTTAGACATTCTTCTTGATGTTGCTCCATTTCAGTCTTAGAGAAAAAATCTTCTGAGGCCCTGTATCAGTTTCTTAGGGCAACCATAACAAGTACCTCAAATGGGGTGGCTTAAAACAACAAAACTTTACTGCCTTGAGACTCCTCAGGGTGGTGCAGTGGTCGGGACTCTGCGCTTCCACTGCAGGGGGTCATGGGTTTGATCC